ACATCTTTACTATGAAAGTTATTATTACTGCATTGTTTTGATTTGCATTTCTCTAATAATTAGTGATATTGAGTGACTGTTGGCCATGTGTATGTCTTCTTTGAAGAAATATCTATTTATGTCTTTTGTCCATATTTTGATTGAGTTTTTTGGTTTTTTGATAATGAGCTGTATGAGCTGTCTATACATTCTGGTTTAAGTCTTTGTTGGTTGCATCATCTGAAAATATTTTTCCCCAGTTCTTAAGTTGCTTCTCTGTTTTGTTTATGGTTTCCTTTGCTGAGTGTGCAAAAACTTACAAGTTTTATTGGGTCTCATTGTGTTTTTTTGCTTTTATTTCTTTTGCCCTGGCAGACTAATCTAGGAAAATATTGCTGTGATTTATGTCACAGAATATTTTGCCTAAAAGCATTAGTTCTGGTTAGATTTTTTTTTCATCTCTAAAATCTAAGAGACAAACAGTGTATAACAAACAGGAGAGGAAAAGAGGAATAAAATAAACTCCTAATAAAACCAAATTAAGACAAAAAAGGAGAGAGCAAAAATGTAGGATATGTAGAAAAAAATCAGATTATAGTTAGGAACCAAAATATATTAATAATTACATTATATATTAATGGACTAAATATTCTAACTAAAAGACAAGTATTGTAAAGCTAGGTATTAAAATACTATTTAACACTTATCAGAGATATGCATTATATAAAGGATGCTGAAAGTAAATGAGTGAACAAAAAAGCCATGCAAATGGTCCAGAGAAAGCTGGTGTGGCCACACTAATACCAAAGAAATTAGATAAGATTTAGATATATTTCTTAAGAAATATTACTTTAGGTTAAAAATGGACATTTCATAAAAATGAAGTGGTCTGTTCAGCAGGAAGATATAAAAATTCTGAATTTATATGCATCTACTAGAATAGCTTCTAAATACATCTAATAAATAGCAAAAATTGACCAGAGAAATAGAAAAATCCACAGAGTGGGAGATTTTAGCATATGACTGATAGAACAAGCAGTCAAAAACCTAATAATGATAAAGAAAAACAATTTGACCTAAATGAAATAATATGAATATTGCACACAGCAACTACAGAATTCAGGGGATATTGTTCAATTAATAAGATTGTTGCCATGTATGAGAGTGATGGAAAGATTGTTGATTGTTACACTTAAGTGATGAAGATGATAATACAGAGAAAGTTTAAAAGCCATTACGTTATATATGGCCAAAAAATATTTGAGTTCTTCCAGTATTCAAAAACTATTATCCACTTTAGCAAAGCAGTTATTCAAATTACTGTTAAATGAAGTTCCAACAAATGTCACCGTTGTTTCAGTTTCATCTTAATAAATGTCAACCAACATTCATGGTGAAGTTACACTTGTTTATCTGCAACGTAATCTATTTCTTTGCTGAATTGGATAATAACCAAGCATTTATTTGAAATCTAATTGTTTCAAAATATAGTTGAAAATACATGAGTTCAGCAAAAATCAACAAAAACAAACCATGAGAATCGGTTAGATATCTAGAATTAGCAATAAAGAGTATTGCATACTTTATTATTATAATAATTCTAAGTTAGGCTACGCATCTAGCACATCAGTAAAATTTATAACTTTTGTATGTATATGTGTGCATACAACTCTTCTGATAATTGGTTATTAGCATACCGCTGCATTGTTGTTCAGTCGTTCAGTCATGTCCAACTCTGCAACCTGATGGACTGCAGCACGCCAGGCTTCCCTGTCCTTCACCATCTCCCGGAATTTGCTCAAACTTATATCCATTGAGTCCGTGATGCCATCCAGCCACCTCGTCCTCTGTCGTGCCTTTCTCCTCCTGCCTTCAGTCTTTCCCAGCATCAGGGTCTTTTATAATCAGTCAGTTCTTCACATCAGGTGGCCAAAGTATTGGAGCTTCAGCTTCAGAATCAGTCCTTCCAGTGAATATTCAGGACTGATTTCCTTTAGGATGGACTGATATGATCTCCTTGCAGTCCAAGAGACTCTCAAGAGTCTTCTCCATACCATTGCATATAATGTCCTATTTGCATAAACTTCATGTAAAACTCTGGCTGCCTCAAATCAGATAATATCCAAGCAACAAGAGAACTTAAAGGCCAGTCACTCCAGCCTCCTCATTTTACTACTGTGAAAATCCAGGCCATTAGAGAATCCAGGCTCATTCAGCACTGCCCAGCTCTTTAGAGAAAACAAACCTGCGAAGTAGGAGCGTGGTATCTGAAGAAAGGCCTAGACCTCACACAGTGATCCCCCAAATGCTAAAACAGTTACCGTCTAAAAGGCCAGCATTCTAACAGTGGGAGAGTGTAACTTTTTCTACAAATTATTAACCGAAAGAAAAGGAGGAAAAATAATGTCTCTAATAAGTTTTGTGATGTTTTGTTCTAGCTCAGAACCAATAAGTTGCAATTCTAGCTCATTTTATACTACCTTGCTTTTATTTCTTCTACCCAAAGCTGAAAAAAGTTTAATTTACAACCTGTTTAAAAGCAATAAATATTACATAGCTATTGTAATTCCATAAAAAAACATTTTGGGGACTTCTCTAGTGGCCCCATGGTTAGGAATCCACCTGCCGATGCAGGGGACACAGGTTTGATCCCTGGTGTGGGAATAACCCACATGCCGCAGCGCAGCTAAGCGCACGCACCACAACCACTGAAGCCTGATCACTCCGGAGTCCATGTGCCATAACTACTGAGCCCATCTGCCACAACTACTGAAGCCCTGCACCCTCGGGCCCACGCTCCACAACAAGAGAAGCCACTACAGGGAGAAGCCCGCACACCGCAGCTAGAGTGTAGCCTCCACTCATTGCAACTAGAGAAAGCCCTCATGCAACAACAAAGACCCAACACAGCCTAAATAAATAATTTTTTTAAAACATGTAAAGAAAAAAAAGGAACATTTTAAGAACACAGTTCTCTGAATACCTACCAGAAACATATAAACATACCATCTGAAATAGTCAAGATTTTTGGTGAAGAAAAGCAACTTGCCTAAACTCTTAAGGACTTAAAGAGAATATAAGAAGAACAATTCATGGAGAAATTAAAGGAGATATCATGATTCCCCTGACTTTTTAACTGGAGTTTAACATATATGATCTACACTACATTTTAACAAGATTCGGGGAAGATTAAAAAGTGCAAGTGTTGTAGGTAGAAAAGCTGAGAGAGTATATATAGGTCCACAGTGAAAGAAGGGAAAGATTAAGTTTTCATCCTTATCTTGGCTGCTGGAGGCCTCAGCTGAGTCTTTGTGGTAGAAGTCAACAGGATGCAGGCTGGATATTTATTGCAGAGTTGAGTCTCCACCGTGTTCTTCACCACACCCAGATGCTTCAAGCTGTTCTCCACCATGGCAGAAGGGAAGTGACATCCCATGACTGTGACCCCCCACATTCAACTGGACTGAGATGGGCAGCTACCACCATTCATGTCCACATCAATACCTGATTCACATGTAATATGGAAGACATCTGTTACTTGCTTTTGTTGAGGGTCACAACAATTTCATAGATTAGCTCTCTGACTAAGCACGTTATAGTCTGTAACTAGTGTCAACTTTGCCATACCTAGTAAATTTTGTCAAAACAGCATCAAAGTGAGGAAGTACAGAGTGCCAAGAGTCTGGGGTCTCATCTGGACTCTGCCACTTACTTCCTGAGTGATCCCAGGGTCAGATTCCCCATCTCTAAGAGGGCATAATACTAATAATGTGCTGTGCTGTGCTTAGTTGCTCAGTTGTGTCCGACTCTTTGCGACCCCATGGACTGTAGCCCGCCAGACTCCTCTGTCCATGGGGAATCTCCAGGCAAGAATACTGGAATGGGTTGCCATGCCCTCCCCCAGGGGATCTTCCCAACCCAGGGATGGAGCCCAGGTCTCCTGAATTGCAGACAGATTCTTCACCCTCTGAGCCCTCCCTAATAACATTGTTGTGACATCCAGGGGTTAATACGTATCATGAACTCTTAGAATGGAGCCTGATGTATTATAAGCACTCAACAGGTGTTGGCTCTTAGCACTATATTTTCTATAGGAATAGTAACAAAAGGAATGACTTGCAAACCAAAGTGAATTGAAGTCCAAAGTGGGACTTAAAATATTCTATTGACAATCACACACATTTTATTTTAGAAATTAAAATCTCTTTATTGGTCAAAAATTAGCAATGATTTAAACTTAACACCTCTCCTCTTGCACATTTAATCACACACCACCACTCTAGAAAATCCACATACATGAACAGTGTTTAAAAAGTGAGATGTGGGAGAAGGCGAGGGTGGGATGTTTCAAGAGAACAGCATTGAAACATGTATATCTAGGGTGAAACAGATCACCAACCCAGGTTGGATGCATGAGACAAGTGCTCGGGCCTGGTGCACTGGGAAGACCCAGAGGGATAGGGCGGAGAGGGAGGTGGGAGGGGGGACCGGGATGGGAATACATGTAAACCCATGGCTAATTCATTTCAATGTATGACAAAAACCACTGCAATGTTATAAAGTAATTAGCCTCCAACTAATAAAAATAAATGGAAAAAAAAAATTAAAAAAAATTAAAAAAAAAAAAGTGAGATGGGAAGAGAGAGAGAGCAGCCTAGCATCTAGGGATGTTCATACAATGAGATCCAACAGATCCAAGTTAAATGCTAGCAAACACTATTAAAAAATATGACATGAGCTATTTACTACATCTAGTATAACATAATGGTATTATTCTGAACAGCTCACCACATTTCCAATCATAAATATCCTTAGAAAGTTTAGTGTATATTCTCAAATAAGTGTATTCCTTCTGTTAGGTCTTGCTCAGACTCTGTATGTGTGTGTGTGTGTGTGTGTAGTGTAGTATATGTACATTTGCAATACTGTACCATTTAGAATAAAGCATAAAGTCAAGATATATAATAATTTGTTATTGATCTTTAATAAAAATATTAAAATATACTTGTCTTTTTATTTAGGAATAGAGAAGCTTGCACAGAAAGGGAAATCATTGTCCCCTTTAGCAAGTATAACTGGAATATCACTCTTTTTGATTATATCCATGTGTCTTCTTCTCTTATGGAAAAAATTTCAACCCTACAAAGGTAGGTTAAAATTTTAAAAATATATACGAATGGTTTATATGTATACTAAAAAGTATCTTACTATGTTTTTTTCCTTCTGGTTTTTAGTTATAAAACAAAAGCTAGAAGGCAGGTAATGTATATTTCTATGAAAATAATTTTTCTCTGGAATGCTTTTTCCTCAATGATTAAGACTGACAGAAACACCAATTTGTCTTTTCAGGCCAGAAACAATATACAGGAAAGCACGAACATTTTCAGGTAATGGCCAGGCTGAGAGGGGCTATGTATTATCATTATTAATATATATTGTTAATATTAGCTATTCTATATAATGTACTGTTGATATAACAGAATTCATGAGATAATGCTAACCATCCTCTCCCAGGGTGACTGCCCTCACTTCACGAAGTGCTATCCCTTGTATTAGTTTTGTGTAGGTCACATAGATCTGTAAAAGCCCCGAAAGACACTTTCAACACCATTTTACAGGCAAGAGAACTAAGGCTCAGAGAGACTATCATTCGCCCACCATCACTGACCCATATTCCATGATCCTCTTACAATTTTGGAACTGCCCCAGTGTTCTCTCGCTGTGTCAGTTTGTAAAACAGACACAGTGCTGACAGCTCCTGTCCAGGGAGAAGAGGAAAGGGAGGTCCCCCAGCTTGCTGCTTCTCCGACCCTAGGGGTGCCCCTCACTGCCATCACTTCTGACTCCCGCCTGAGCTGTTAACAGTGAGGCTTTTGCTCAGGCCTTAGAATCATAGGAGCTGGATTTCTGTCCCATACGTGCCTCTTCCCCCCAGTGTCACCTTGGGGAAATTATTTTTCCTGACCTCCACTCATCTCTACAGTAACACTCATAACGTCCCCTTAGGGTTGCTTTGAGAATTAAATCCGGTGATATAGGCACCTAATACAATGCCTGGATTCTTAGTAAACATGGGTCTTCTTCCCCTTATCTAGTCCTTTCTCATAAATAGTAAAGTGTTGGAGTTCTGAAAGCTCCCAGAGACTATCTGGAAGAGCCACCCTACATTTTACAGATGATAGTTTAGGTGATATTGGACTTGTGTATTCTATTTTGTATGCATAGGCAGCCATGAAGTGAAGTGCAAGTTGCTCAGTCATGTTCAACTCTTTGCAACCCTATGGTCTATACAGTCCGTGGAATTCTCCTGGCCAGAATACTAGAGTGGGTACCCTTTCCCTTCTCCAGGGGGTCTTCCCAACCCAGGGATCAAACCCAGGTCTCTCACATTACAGGTGGATTCTTTACCAGCTGAGCCACAAGGGAAGCTCTTAGTCACTTATTTTTTTATTAGTCCTGGTGGACTCTGTTAGATCTAGCAGGACATAGCAATATTATGGGTGGATTAAGAGCTGCTGCGATTGACAGATTGAGGCCTTGGTGGCCACAAGTCTCTGGTAACTGAAAGTTACAAAGGGCAAGGCTGCCCACATGTGTTTATTTGAATATATATGATACACCAGTGTTCCTACATCAGACTTTAAGGATAATTATCCCAATTCAGTTTCAGTTCTGAGCTTCAAAAGGAGTGATTTCCAGTACTACTTAGTGGCTGCTACTGCTGCTAAGTCGCTTCAGTCGTGTCCGACTCTGTGCGACCCCATAGACAGCAGCCCACCAGGCTCCCCCATCCCTGGGATTCTCTAAGCAAGAACACTGGAGTGGGTTGCCATTTCCTTCTTCAGTGCATGAAAGTGAAAAGTGAAAGTGAAGTCGCTCAGTCGTGTCCGACTCTTAGCGACCCCATGGACTGCAGCCCACCAGGCTCCTCTGTCCATGGGGTTTTCCAGGCAAGAGCACTGGAGTGGGGTGCCATCGCCTTCTCCGCACTTAGTGGCAGCATGACTATAGAGGATTGTCGTTGTTCAGTCGCTCAGTTGTGTCCAACTCTTTGCGACCCCATGGACTGCAGCAAGCCAGGCTTCCCTGTCCTTCACCATCTCCCAGAGTTCGCTCAACTTCATGTCCATTGAGTCAATGGGAAATGTTAAATTGGAGTAAACCATACCACTGGAAGTAAACCATAAAGATCACTTTAAAAAGGTTTCTTTAAAAAAAAAAAAGAAGAAGTATAACAATCACAGTACAAGGCATTTGGTTTGTAAGGAGTATTTGTTTTCCATTTCAGGCCACGAGGATGCGCTGGATGACTTTGGAATATACGAATTTGTTGCTTTCCCAGAAGCTTCTGGTGTTGCCAGGGTTGGTTTTCTAGTGGCTGCTTATCCTAGAAGTAGCATTCTGCTTCAGCAGAGGTGTAAGCAGCATTCCTTTAAACCTGGGGGCACTGCAATCCAATGACTGCACCACCCTCAGCCATATTGACTCACTCTATAATGAATGGCGGTGCCGGATCTGGGGAGCTAAAGTGTCTTTCTAAGCCTCTATCAAAAAGGCTAACACAAATAAGGAAATTACACGAATTAATAATCATTCTTTACTTGGTAAGCTCAGTGGAGAGAGAATTAACTCGGTTGAAGGTCAAAAGAATTGAGTAAAAAAGGGACGGAGAGACCCTGGTTTAAATCATTCTACATCACTTTGATGACTGTGGACTGTCTCTTCACTGTCTCTGTCATTCAGCTTCCCCTTTAATTCCCCCTCATATCTCCTGAGGACATTGCAGAGACAATTGATTATACAGGTACTTTATGCTCTTCAGAAGAAAGGTAGTGTAGAAACCCAAAATATGCAGGTATGTATTTTAATTTTTTCTGAAGGTGCAAGAGAACTTTTATACAGTTAAAGCTTTTTTTTTTTCCTTTTCCAGTCTGCACAGACAAGGTCTTTGAAGCAATCAATTTTGTTTAAGAGACAAATAGAATGTTTCTCTGAGCTAATCAGCGCATTAACATTTTTATAGATTTATGTATAACTGATCTTTCCTGTTTCCTTATTCCCCTGTGATAGTTCACCTAAGAAAGGGGCCCCTGCAATGAACTACTTGCCTCTGGGCATTTTCATTTCCATTTTTTAAAACTATTTGCCATTTAGGATTGGTTGTCTCACTTGTTCAGAGAATTCTAAGGTTCTGAGGTTCATCCAGCAAGTTACCTGGCCACAGGCTTTATTTCTCAAATGCCAGTGAGTAATGGAGGGGGAATGATGGAACTTCATCCTCTTGTGGGTGAGTCATAGCACCAGTGTCCACGTCATCACAGGTAAAGGGCAAAACTGCATTGCAAAATCTTTGCAATGTCCTGTTCAGTCTCAGGCAGGATAGGCTCACCGTTCACTTCTACAACCAAAAAGACAAAAACAAATAATTTGGTGGATCAGTTATTTCAGAGACAGCTCCTCATCATGACAGCAAGCACCCCTCTCAGGCATGTCTTTTAAATGGAAAAGCAGGAAACTGAAGCCTGATAAGCCCTGGAAATGAATTTTGAAGTCAGATTTTATTCCTAGGAATGCATTGGAAAGGGGTGAGTTCTATGTAAGAAACTTTAAATTTATACTTGCAATTAACCAGTACTCAGTTTTAAGATTGTATTGAGAGGACCTCTGTTTGCTCAAAATGCTACAGTTCTAAAGAACCTAAGGCCAAGAAATGAATGCTTGATTACATACCAGAAAAGTGAAAGTGTTAGCCACCTAGTCATGTCCGACTCTTTGTGACCTTACGGACTGTGGCCTGCCAGGCTCCTCTGTCCATGGGATTCTCCAGGCAGGAATACTGGAGTGGGTAACCATTCCCTCCTCCAGGGGATCTTCCCAACCCAGGGATCAAACCCAGGTCTCCTGCATTGCAAGCAGATTTTTTACCATCTGAGCCACCAGGGAATCTGTCATAAGTGGAATAGCTCGATTTGGAACCATACCCATCTTCAGAGATGAAAACTCCTGAGGAATCAGCTGAGGTCTTTCATTGGCAGTTCCAGGTGCTTTGGGAAGAAGTGAGAAAACAACATGAACAGCCCAAGGAGGAAGAGGAAAAGGATCCACGTTAGAAGCAGCCAGAATTGTGTGAAGATTAGCAGTGAGTGCAGTGGCTTTGAGAAAGGAATAATAATAACATGACCAAGATCTCAAAATTGAAGTTAAGAAGGGGAATGAATTACTAACTTTATGAGTTTTCAAAAATCGGAATCCATCTTTTAGTTTCTCGTGATACGTGAACAGATGAATGCTCCTCTGTCTACTTGCTATACTTTTCTTTGTCCGTTTAGCACTTCTTTTTAGGAATTGTACAGAAAGCCATGGCATAGAATGAACAAATTTATTACTTGCTAACAGCTCTAGTATTAGGTTAGGTGAGTAAGTTAGTCATTTTCTATATAGATTGCTTTTTAAAAAAAATTTTTAAGACTTTTTTTGATGTGGACCATTTTTCAAGTGTTTGTTAAATTTGCTACAAATTGCTTCTGTTTTATGTTTCGGATTTTTGGCCATGAGGCATGTGGGATCTTAGCCCCTGACCAGGAATAGGACCTGCACCCACTGTATTGGTAGGCAAAGTCTTAACCACCAGACCAGCAGAGAAGCTTGTAGATTGCTTTTATCATTGCCCCTGAATACCTCTATACCAAAGAAAATCAAGAGTTGATCTTAAGTCCAGACTCTGAACCAAAGTTCCCTTGACACAAAAATGATGGGATGAATCAAATCACATAGCCTAGGACTGTTGTGAAAGCTTTAACAAGTAGAATGGAAATAGGAAGTTTCCAGAAAAACCTGAAGCTAAGATGTTCCAAAGTGATCTGGCAAGTCAAATTGGAATGAAATAAAGAACTCTTCAGATGATCTATATAGTGCAAAGAGTCCTCTACGGGTAGGACTATATAAATACAAAGGACTGAAAGTGGCCACAAGTACAATGAACATAGGATGAGTTGGGATGAGGAAGGGAGCCAGACTTTAGCAAAAGACTTGGGAAGTGTTTATAAGAATAGCAGCATCAAATATAAGAAATAGGAGTTAATGAAACAAAAATGCCACTTGCAATATTAAAATACATGTTGATCTTAACCAAGCACATGCTACTATACTTTCCACATTCATCCAAGCCTTTATTTTTTTTTAATTCACAAGCTTTTATAGTATGTTTTATTTTGTTGAATAAAAACATTCAGTATTCCATTTTAAGTCTTTACCTTTAAAGCCCATTACTGCATTCAAACCAAACCATCTTCCCTTGTATGTTCAGTATTTCTTGGTACTGTCTTTACTAACTTGCCACATGATGAGGGCTTCCGGCTATACATTATTCTTTTTCCTAAACCACCTTTGCACACATTATTGGCAATTAGTATCAAAAAGCTAAGACTGAGATATAATATAAAGGATAGTAATATATGCTCTTTGATTCTAAGCTATCCTGGTATCTTCCCCTTTGCTATTGTTTTCTTTCTATTGCACTTCCTATACAGTACTGCCAGCTTTTTGCTTAAATGGAGGAAAAAAGTGATAGTTTGCCCAGCTATTCCTCTTCTGACCTCATAGCTGTGCCACTGCACAAACTCCTATAGGGTAAGTGAAAGGAACTGTAGCAAGGAGGAAATGGATATTGAAGGGAAGTTGTTATTGTTTAGTCGCTAAGCCATATCTGACTCTCTTGCCACCGCATGGACTGTAGCCCATCAGGCTTCTCTGTTTATGGGTTTTCCCAGGCAAGAATACTGGAGTGGGTTGCCAGGCCCTCCTCCAGGGGCTCTTCCCTACCCAGGGGTCAGACTCACATCTTCTGCATTGGCAGGTGGATTCTTTACCACTGAGCCACCAGGGAAGGCCATGAAGGGAAGTTAAACAGTTCTAATTCTCTCATCACCACCTCTTCCAGCTGTGTAGCGAAGTAGAAATTCCATTTGCTGTTCTGCCAATTATTTTAATGTGCTCTATTTTCTAGATGCCCACAAGATCTGTTCCAGCCTCTGATGGTATACCAGGGCAAGATCTGCACAGTACAATTTACGAAGTTATTCAGCACATCCCTGCCCAACAGCAAGATCATCCAGAGTAAGTATGAACTTGATTTTGATGATACTATGTTGAGAGGGCTCAGAATCCAGCCCCTGCTGTCCCCAGAGTTTATTGAAAGAAGAAAAAAATACATTAAAAACAGAAAATTATAGCTCCCCTACATGTGAACACACTTTCCCACCTGAAAACAGCTGTAAGAAATAAAACAGGCAAACGTACAAGTATCTTCTGGGGCCAAGTACTTGGGCCAGTGGACCGGACGCAGAGCTCTAGAATCTAGCATTTCCCCCAATGAATCCACTTCTGGAGAAGAAGGGGGTCGTTAGGCCAGTTCTCAAGCCATCTTGGTTCTCTTGCTGATTTTCCAGTGGCTGTAGGGTTTTTGGAAAAGGAAATGGCAACCCACTCCAGTATTCTTGCCTGGATAATTCCATGGACGGAGGAGAATAGCAGGCTACAGTCCATGGGGCCACAAAGAGTCAGACGTGACTTTGGCAGCTAAGCACACATGTAGTGGTTTTAGGCTCAGTGATCTATCACCATGGATGGGTGTGTTCATGTTCAGTCACCCAGTCGTGTCTGATTCTGCAACTCCGTGGACTGTAGCCCACCAGGTTCCTCTGTCCTTGGAATTTTCCAGGCAAGAATACTGGAGTGGGGTGCTATTTCATCCTCCAGGGGATCTTCCTGAGCCAGGGATCAAACCCGTGTCTCCTGCATCTCCTGCATTGGCAGGCGGATCACTACAAATAGGACCAGGAAAAAAAAAATCCTGCAAAACGTACCCAACACTGTCCCCATCAAATGCCCACGTCTCACAGACTCAAAGCAGTCTACTCTCAAGTGAATAGAACCACCGTGGTAAGGGCTGGGCTCACTCCAAGAAAAGCCGGGAAACTGCTCATCCAGTTAACCTGGGGGCTGACACCAGGCAGTCGCCTTCCCTTCCCATAGGTGGAAAAACTACGCCAACAGCCTTTTGGAATAAAGAAATGAACTTCCCTTTTTTGTGGGCTGTAACTGCCTGCAGGCATAACTGCCACGAATCATCTTCCATCATTTCTCTATTTGTCATTTATTGACTTTGAAAAGAACATCAATAACCATACATGGGAACTTCCCCTTTGGCAAAAGAAAACAGTTCTAGCAAAGTAATTCATGCACACCTCTGGATGAATACCAAAAATAACAGCTAGCAGTGGATGAATGCCTGGGAAATGGTCTTCCAGGGAGGAGACCCAGCCTTGGGGGCCTGTGCATTCATTTAAGGGCTGAATAAGTGACAGGAGCACCTCAGAGGACCCCATCAGTGCAGTCCTTCTTGTCTCAAGGAACCTGGAGAAAAGGGAGTCAGGTGATTCGGAACAGACTCTGACAGAGCTGGGAGCTTCCGGTTTGAAAAGAAAAGAAAATTGCTTTGTAGCATTATGATATTAATCTAATAGGACACCATAGTGGAATGTTATTCCAGGACAGTTAAACAAAACCTCTCTAAAATGATACCCAACCCTCTTTACTGTCTGGAATAGAAAATGAAGGGGTATTTTTCTTTGTTAAAAATAAGGAATATATAGAATTTTGAGAGTATATCTGCTTCTTAATTTTAAGATTTTATCTGCTTCCTAATTTTAAGATTGTTTCCAAGCAAAAATTTTGCCCTATTTAAATTCATTTGTTTTTCTATATGTCCTTTATTCTATATTTTTCCAGTTAGCCTGCAAACAAACCAAAGGAAGACTTGAGGTTTATCTTTTAAGTCTCCAAATAATGAAATAAATATTGATTTTCAACTGTGGAGTATGGCAGCTATAATTTCAGAACACCAAATAAAATGATTTGGTGAAAAAAATGATTCCTCAAATTAAAAAAGGAAATCACCCTCAGAAATTAGACTGCTTTCAGACATGAACAATATCACTAAAATTTCTTGAGAGTATAAAATTTTATTTCAGAAATAAACTTTGAAGGTTGAAAATACAGCAGAAAAGCTCTTTTTCAAGCTCATTAAGGACTATTTAACTGCTGTTGAGGACGTGCTCCTTCCAGGGGCAGTCCACTCAAGACCACCCCCCACCCCCGCTGCCCCCCCCCCCCCCGCCACACACACACAGAAACCAGTACTGGAGAAACCAAGCACCACTCTCGGAGAGTTGGAGAACTCAGGTTTATTACACTGGCGGCCCAGAGGAGTTAACACTCCAAGCTCTGAGCCCCAAACGAAGGGATTACAGAGTTTTTATAGACAGACTGTAGTGGGCAACACTAGTTCTTAACAGGCTGGTTTAAACTAAGGAGTTTCGTGCGCAGGAGCAGCAGCCAAGATGGGGAGGGGGATGCCTTCCTGGACAGGCATGATGAAGCAGGTTTGCAGGCCGGTGGGCCATTGCAAAGAGCAGGACAAGGGTGAGTGAGATAAACTCCAGTTCCTAGTATTGCAAGTCCCCACTTTCTGAGACTACGTGACTACTTGATCTAGACTTTGCAAGGGGCAAGCTGATTTACAGAGGCAGAAGGAGGTTATGTAAAATTTTAACTTTTCCTCTTCACCCACTCCCCATCTCCTTGGCCTTTCTCTTCTCACCTCATTCCTCCCCATCTTCTGAGGAAGTTCCATTTGTGTCTTTGTTTTGACTTTACCTCCATCCTAAGATGTCTTCACTCTCTGAATCTGCCTTCTCTTTCCTTCTTCTCTCCTCCTCTGTCTCCTCCTGTCTCCCTTCTCTCTAGTATCACTTTTAAATTTTCTTCTCCTCTTTCTCTCTTCCAGCTCATCCTAAATAGGAACCAACATTTTTTTTAAACTTGTTTTCCTTGAATACAGATGAGGCTACCTATTCTAAATTTTAAAAACAAGCAGGTAGAATATTTTCTTTTTATTTCATCAGAAACTGTTTTGCACTTGTATTTTTTTTTACACTCAATCCACAAACATCTCCAGGTCATTAACTATGTACTAGGGATAGAGATTAAATATAAGACATAGTCTTTTAAAGGTTTCATAGCTTAGTGAGCTCCTCTTTGCTTGTTTTAACTGAAGATCAGTAATCCTTAGTAGAACAAGTATTCCTGAATAGAATAAACATCCCCTAAGCATGCAGAAATCATTTTTCTTTCCTGATTATCTATGGTTTTATTCTCTAGATCCAGTTAAATTTAGAGATCAATTTCATGAATAATGCAGTATTACAGGTGGTTAGTGAGTCTCCAGCATTCCCAGCTTGGGGTAAAGAACTCTAACTTACTGCTTTCTTTACCTCTATTTGAAAGTTGGTTGTGAGATAGAAACACAGCCAAAATGTTTTTCCTTTGGCTCTTAGACTATTATTCTAGCAGTGTTGTTTTCATTACTACACACGTCTATTACCTAACTGAACTGGTGTTTAACAAATTGGTGAGTTGGCCTGTGTTCATATTCTAGTACTCGGTCATTTGTTTATTGAATTCATGGCTGCATTTATTTAAATGCTGTCTGTCAACCTCATTAAATACTCTTGGCACAGTTTGTTTTAAACCCAACTTGCTCATAGGACATTCACGTAAGTCAACCTTTTAGTTTCAAAAAGAAATTATCTACAGAATTGAGTGATGACTTACTTTATACTTATTGACTTGTAAATGTAGTTTTCTTGAACTAGTTCAAAGTTCTCATTATTTGCAGCTATAGCAAGGAATAAACGAATTTAAGGTTCTTCAACCTATAGACCTGGAAATCTGTAGAACATTTTGCATGTCTCTTCACTAGGTAAGCATTCACGGGCAAAGCAGTGCATTTAAGTGAAATAAGGAAAGCACATTTTGAGGAAAGCAGTGGAAATGTGTATTCATCTGGAATCAGTGAAGAAATCAAGCCAGATACCTCTTACTCGTTGGTCCTTTTAATGCAGAATAAAGCCATTTATAAAAACCTGACTGCAGATTTTCCAGCATACACACAATGCATTATGCTGCAGAGGAGCGTGGTGGGGCAAGAGTCCCAGAGGACGGTCTTTATCGTGCTGACGGAAGAAAGAAAAGGACGGGACTTTCCAATTACTTTTTTTGTATCATGTTTCCTACAAGGCTCAATTAGTTCTAATCTATACTTTCCCTTTCCTCAGCAGCGACACTATCCTATCTAACCTACAAGTGTGGAAACTTTTATTTGTAAAATCTTCAGCAGGCTTTGTTTTATTAAATTTTAAATTGCTACACTTTTAAATTTTCATTCCCAAATTTCCTTCTTGCTGTTTGTACCATGGAATAATAAAGATGATTGTCACAAAAGCAAGAGTGTGCCTTCTCCTAGGTTGTCAATCACCAATGGAGTTTTTTAAAAGACTTGTAAAACACTGAAGGAAATGACTTATTTAAGTCTGATTTTTACTTTTGTTCAAGGAACAGTGGATTCAAATAAATTATTATGCTTTCACTTGTATATAGCCTTGATTCTTTGTCTTGCAAAGTAAAAAGCTTACATAAATTGACATTATAGAATTAGATTTTTTTAACCCCTTTTCCCCAGTGTGCATCGTGGAGAGCTACCAAAATAAGACTCTTGCTCTCACATGGCTATTTACTTTTCAGGCTAGAAATTTTTACTTTATTGGATTGTGACTTCTCCTTGTATATCGCTGTATTCTAAAAAACAAAAACAGAAACCAAATGGTAGAATTTAAAAACACCACTTTATAACTCCCAAATGAAATAACTGATTCAGATAACAGTTAGCACTAGGCAAGACTGCTAGATAAAATTTACCAGATAAAACTACCAAGAATCCTGTTGCAGAAACCCTGCACAGGAAAGGTGGTCGTGGCCCAGAGAGAAGCAGGTCTGCAGAGTGGCACAGAGAACTGCAGGCACAGGGAGGCCGGGGGAGTGGGGTCGGGACGGTCATCCAAGTCTCGTAGGTCTTGACTATGAAAGACAAATATTTATATTCATTGACTTTGGCTACAGACACTCTGACCTGCCAGTGCCGCTCTTTAGGATTTCATTCTGGCTAAATAAAGGTAGAGGCAGTCTAAATATACAGCAGTGGGGGATTTAAAATGACATCAG